CACGTGGTGCATCCTGGGCAACGTATACTCATATGGCAAACAAGTCTATTAACCGCCAGTTGACTTCTCATTTCAAACTACCATAACCCCACTGGATGCCATATTCTACCACTTCCACAGTAATCACCTTACCTTTTTCTCTACCTTTGTGTCTGTCTGCCTCTTTTACAACTGTGAATCGCTCATCTGTTCCACACCCCCTCGACTTTCTTCTACTTTGATGAACCTTCCCTCTGTGAAGCCTGAAGTCAACTAAATGGCTAATGATAGCTATCAAAACGCCTGCCATTTGAAATAAATAAAAGTATGATATTGTGGAGTGGAAAGGAAAGCACCAAACACACTCCGCTAGTACTGCACAAGCCAGTCAGTTAATGAACAGAAAGGAGTATTTTTTATAGACCTTTTCAGCTAACTCCGGGTTAAGGCCGTGGCCGGGGTCAGGATGAAGCTGTAATCCGAAATATTATAACGCATTTGTTTCATTAAATCTTAAATATATGTTTTACGAAGGGAAGATCGACTAACATACCTCATCACAAGGCGTTTTGCCTTAAGTAAAAATTAAAGAACCAAATGGCCAATAATTGTCAGCTGATTATAATGTCTAGAATACCTATTTCTTATTAAAACAAACATATCAACGTAATGAAATAATAAGATATCTGAGCATTTTTGTGTGAGAAAATAGCTCTCATTACTTTCAGAATAAAAAGTGACAGAAGACAGTGATGTACCGACTTAATCACCTGATTTTCTTGTCTCCACATAAACATGGTCAATTCCTATAAGAATAAGTCCTTCCAGAACAGAGAGTAGAGCAAATCAGACCCATTGGTAACTCGTCAACAAGAAATAGTAACGGCTCCCCAACGTGGTTCGTACTAATATGAAAAATCTTCAATCAGATTAGCTAGATTTACTCAAAAAGTAATGGGATTTAGAAAGAAACAATTCAATGATGATCACCATTTCTGTTGTAAATCTAGGAATCATATTGAACTCACCTCCAAATAGTCCAGGCTTTTAAACGGCGACAGGTCAAATGTAAGAGAACTGATAGCAATATTGCTATTGTGCAATTTCTCCAGAGAGACGTAAAGCTATAAAGGTGGAAAGAAGAGATAGAGAGAATAGATGACCGTGCGTTTGTTTGCTATTTCTGTCATTCAAAACCATAGGCGTTATTAGTTTATAGGCAAGATATTCATTCGAGACCCTCGAAAGCACAGAACTAAAACACAATACATTAAAGGCATATTAGGTACTACGTAGCATCACTCACTTTGAGCTGTTTTACTTGGGAGATGAAATCCGTAACACAACTGAAATCTTCATCCGGATTGTTGTAAACTAAAACAATGAAGTAAACTCAAAAATGAAATAGAACATACTACTAACAAAAAACTAGTATGTTTGCAAAAATAATTCTTGGTGTGTTTTACTGTTTTATAGACCTTGGCGTGAGCGAAACAAATGTAGGACAAACTTTCAATGTCAACAATCGGATAGCATCATGATTGACCAATGGAGTCGTTTCAATTACGGAAGAAGAAAGTCTTTTATTTGAACGGGATATCCCAAAGCCAATAGATGTTAAACAACGTTTGTTAACCAGAAATAATTGGTTGGCAATATCGACTGCTATATCCATAAGCGGTCAAATATTCGCTTGTGTGTTTAATATAGCGTTACCTAAACAAATACCAATCACCACGCCAAGACAGAATTAGCGTCTAACGAACAAATGCTTGGTACATAAACCTAATTTATTCTTATTGCTATCGTAGTTTTATAGATTTCATGTTGTTTATATCCAAACAATAGTTACCTATTTGTGCAACTAGTATTTGAATGGTGAGCACCAATACTCCCACCATCAGATTTGCATCAATGACTTTCCAGCCCATTTTGTCAAATGATTGAAAAGTATTTACCCTATTTTAATTGGCGTCCAGGTACAGGGACAAACAGGGGAAACTTTTCTAGGATGTTTGTATGCCCACGCGATATTAACATAAAAATACTCTGTCATCCAGTCAGAATAAGCATTATAAAGTCTAATTTCATGCCAAAATTACTTAAGCCAAATGCACAGATATCGACGGATATATTGAAAATATGAGATAAAATTATGTGATACTTTCTAATAAACGCAGTGTGGTCAATCAAATAAGCGTTTCACATAGCCCATAAGCCAATACATGGTGACTTTGATCGGAATTAAGTATACAAAAGTTCTCATTCTCATTAGTAGTCGTATACCTCTAAAACTGATTCATCATCATTTGAAATTAAAACTTTAAAATACTTACGATTGGCTGTTTCAAGAGTTAATGTTTGCTAATCATTAGAAACGCTATCAAACAATAAATAGGATCCTATCGCCATCCCTGCATCGACACTTACAAATGCTCAAATGGTCATTATTTAACACTTCCAATCTTCAGCTCATTGATTGCTATTTGCTCGCTCTTCTCGTCTCAAAAGAATCCCAAAATCGTTCTTCACCTATTTGAACCGTCTACCATCTCAATCTATCATATTCCCAGGCATAATCTTCTGGCCAAGCGCCCCTACGTTTTGTTTGTTTCTATCCCACACCTACTTGGCTTCTCACCAACTCCCACTGATCAATTGCAGTCAAGTTCTCCAACCAGTCCCCCTACATCTGTGGTTATTTCTACTTTTTAGTCCTCTCGCCCATTCATCTGTAGTTCTATGCTAGGCATTATTCCAATACAGACCCTCCTTCGAAATCTCTGTAGCTTTGTATTTGGTGAGCATAGTATTTAATTCCATTTCATCTAAGCGAGAGAAAAATGCTTCCAAACATTAGAACTGTCTATATCATCACCTTGCTTTACATAAGCAATGTACAATCACTTACTATTTTGGCTAACAGGAGATTGCATTCGCGCATTAATGGAATGCAATTGGTGTACGCATAAGACCAATGGCTCTCTTCTGGGAATTCTTCCACCTAAAACAAAATGTTTAAGTCTTTACAAAAATTTTATTTTTAGATCACGTAAAAGGTGCTATCAGATTTAGATTAACTTGCGCGTAATAAGAGATATACCCTTAAAACCACTTTTCAAATATTGTGCTCTATCCAATCAAATACTCCGTTTAGTAATTTGAAATTTAAGAGCAAAGTAAATAGGGCTTAATCAAAGCATTAAGGTTACGCCAAAAGGGAAGCAGAATGCAAGACTTGAAAATAAACTAGACTGAAATGAGTTTACAAAATGTCTCCCATTGTGGACAAAATTGGAAAGATAAGGCATATTAAAATTGCCTACACTCTAAGTCGCAGAATCTACCCCTATTCTCTAGATGAGTAAATCAAATTTCCACAAATAGTCTCAAAACTGGGACTCAAACCTATCAACAAACAAGTATGCTACAATTTAGATAACTAAATAGTCATTACCAACAAAAACAATCATTGATCTAATCTTTTAATATCAATTATTTGAAGAGATTCTTTGCCTTAATATCCCCTGTTAGACTATTCAATCATCTTGGAAGGAACATACTTCAATTGCAAAGGCTTGATCTAGCACCACTTATCAACAAAGAGACAATCACTTGACATTTCAATAAATAGTAGTAGGATAATTAGAATGAGGTCGTTTTTCACAAGAATACCGTGTTTTATAATTTATTCAGGGGGTGTGCGATAGACTTACCTCCACGTGGTGCACCCTGGGCAAAAAAGTCTATTAACTGGCAGTTGACTTCTGACTTCAAACTACCAAGACCCCACCGCCTTTAATATTCGACTAATTCCACAGTACTCACCTTTTTTCTACCTTTGTGTCTGTCTGTCTCTTTTACGTCTGTGAATCATTATTCTGTTCCCCCTCCCTCTCGACTTTTTGCCACTTTTGTGTTTCTCTTCCTTTCTGTGAAGCACGAAGTCAACTAAAGGGCTAATGGCACCTATCATAATGCCTGCCATTTGAAATAAATAAATAATTTATTCAAGGAAGAATAAATGCAAAATAAAATCCTACAGCATGCAGTTCCAAAACTATCTGAGAATATGCACAGTAGCTTTCGTAGCAATTTGATAAAAAAAGGAGAAAAATTGAAACATTTACCGAACAAGGTAAAAAAAGATAACATGAAATCAGGCTGTTATTGAGGAAAATATTATTTTGCTACAACAGGACGTATGGGAGAGTGTAACCAAGAGAAATTAGGCGCAGAATCTATTAACAGATGATGATAATAATAAGATTCCAAACATGATAAAAATGCGAAACGAAAACGACAAGG